CTGAATGTGACAGCTTTGCTGCTTGCAACAGGAGCGAAGTGTTCAGCAGCAGATAAGGACGAAGCGCCCAGGACAACTGGCTTACCTAAGTGTGACGTAAGAATTGAAGCTTGAGCACAAAGTCAGAAGTGTCACCGTATGCATTGGGAACTTGGAGCAGTACATGAATTGCCGGTACTGCCCCCCCTCAACCACCCGCTCCGCCCAACCTCCTGCAGCATTTCTGAGAACATTTCTTGCTACCTCTTGCTGTTCTACTGATTACTTGTACTTCTTGCCTTCGTACTAGTACAGTACCTTTTTACCGTCCTGCACTGGGGCTGGGCTTATCGAATTGATGGGAGTAGGTTGCCGGCGTGGAGTGTGGGTAGCCCCTAGTCTTTGACACTATCCCAATGTCCTGACAGCTTGCACGCGGTCCAGTATCATCCAGTGTGTCCGTTGTTTCGAAATTTGATGAAGGTCCATGTTGTTTTCATTGTGCTGCCATAACGCAGCATTTCGCAGAAACTAGCAGTGAACCAAGCTTGAGGCGCGAGATTCCGAGCCATCCCGAGTTCGTGAGTTCTGAAGGCCTCGATTGGCTCAAGGTTGTGGCGGGTGCAAGTGTATGTGTGAACATTGCTACTACCGTCGTGGTTCCTATGAATAAGGTCAACGAGTGAAGCAGCCCTTGAGTTTGAGCAAGTTGAGCCAGTCGGCCAGTTTCCAGCATGGGGTGTGGTTGTGGTACCGCACGAAGCACCGTCGCATGTGCACCTGCGCTTGGTGAAGATGTTGACGACTCTGTCAGTGGTCCGGATGTCGTTGCAGGGCCCTGGCGGTGCATCCTAATCGGCAACAACAACTACGCGCATTACGATGTGCTGCAGCTAGCCCATGTTTGAGTAACTTTTTGTCGTGTGTTGTACAACACCCATATGTTTTGCAAGTATGCGTGGTGCAGACGTGAGGAAGGGTTGCCGCAATGATGTTGATGCGGTTGAAGAGGCTCTCCATCGCTGTTGTTCACTAGCCGCTCCACCACGGAAGCTCTCTGATGCAGCGTATGAGCATATCAAGGACGTGTTTGAGACAGTCCTTTCCACACCTGACTCGAACAGGTGTGTTTTTGTGTTTTTCGCTGGACATGGCATTCAAACTGGCAGAGGTACCCTCTTAGTTCCATGTGATGCTGAAAAACAATCAGCAAAGAAACTGGTCCCTGTGGAGTGGATACGGCAGTCCTTTCGCAACAAGGTTTCCAATGGCATCTTGATTCTCGTGCTTGCTTGCTGCCGACACCCAGGCGACTCCTTGACAGACAGTCCACTGATTTCGATTCCTTCCAGTCGGGGGGTTCCGAAATCAATGTGTGATATCATCCTGTATGGCTGTGGGCCATCCGGTTCAACTCTTGAGACCGAAGATTTTGCTCGACGCCATGACATGCCGACGATGCACCACAGCAAGCTGGCAATCCGCTTGACTAGTGCCATGTGGCGAGCACATTTCGAAAGCCTACCTGTTTACAGAATCCTGGAGATAGTTGCCCAAGGCTGTGAGATGGACGTTAAGAGGTGGGATGGTGTGCCAGAAATGGTGCCGCGATTTCAGGACGAGCGCTTGAAGTATCGATTGTTCTTTGCACACCCCAATGCCAATCCGGGCCTACCTGGAGCGGCCTTGACTTTGCCCATCCCGAAGGCAGTCTGTCATGATGTCCTTCCAAACAAACTAATATCAGCTATCAAAGGGCCGGTGTCGGATTTTTGGCAGTGCCAGAGTGGAAACTTGGACATTAAGCCGCAAGTTAGAGATTTTCTTCAGAAGGCTTACGAGCTGAAGGAGAGGAATGATTGGAATGCCCAGATGAAGTGGCTGAAAGAAGTAGTAGCAGAGTCTCGGTCTGCGGATCCTGTTCTTCTTGTACTTGCCTGCACCTTTATCATTCCTGCTTTTGGGCATGTCTATGCTGGAAAGTATCCGGAGCTGTTGGACAGACAGAAAGCTCTTATGGAAGCGTCCGGGTATGTGCGGGTGCTCCTTCAAACCTTGCAGTGCGTTGACCTCGATGACTATGTGGTCGCAGGCGCACTTGCAGCAGTTGGATTGCAATTGTATTGCTGCGTCCTCTATGAACCGAATGCTGTGCATGCGTGCAGTACATTAAACGATGCATGGCAGTTAATGGTGTCAGCGGGTCAGCTACACATGAAAGCTGGCCTGCCGGAAATAAGTATGAACAACTTGTTCGTGGCATCCCGCATACGGTTGTTCGCAAGCCAGAAGAGACGGGAACCAGGCCTTGCACACGAAACGGTGTCCATGATGCAATCGGTGATGGAATGTCTCAGCGGAGGTTTGCTCACGGTTCAGTCGCCCGCGCAGGACTTTGAGTTCAAACTGCTCGGACATATTGCTGGCAAAATTAGGGGGGTTGCTGTCCCTGATATACAAGGTGAGTGGTTTGATTTACGGTCCAGGAAGCCCGATGCCGCTAAGCGCATGCACTCGAAGT